GAAGGTGATATGCAAAGCACCTAGATCTGATAGGACAAACAGCTGGATACACCAAATCAGAGGGAAAGGGCTGGTGGTAAATTTAATTGACACAATGATAGACCTTGCAATGCAAATTGGATGAAGAGAGAAGACTGGAACAACTAATTTTAAAAAAATATTCAGAAGTGGTGGTGACACCTATAAATCCCAGCAACTAGAGATGCTGAGGAGGGGGATTCTTGAGTTTGAGACCAACTTAGCAAGACCCTATCTTGAAATAATTTTAAAAAGGGGGAGGGGGTTGTGTAGCTCAGTGGTAAAATACCCTGGGTTCAATCCCTAGTATCACCAAAATAAAAAAATAATAATAATAATAAAATTTTTAAAAAACTGAACTGATTGAACACACTCATTTGCATTTGTGTACCTTCTAAAATCCACTAAAATCAGAGTAAAGATATTTGATAAAAATAAAAATGCAAAAACTCACAAGGACAAAGAGAATGGAAACAGATGACAGACATCAAGGAAACTGAAAAGCTAATGGATGAGTGTTAACTGTCCTTATAGATCTGAGAAGGCTGAAATTTTCCTCAGGGTGGAGAGGGACGAGGAGATGCCAATGGTATTGGCGCAAACTGATTCTAATTAGAACTACCAGGAACATCTAAAGGCAGACACACAGGTGTAAAAAATAAAGGGGTGGATTAAAGCACAAGAAGTAAAATCAAGAATCAATAAATGGGGGCTGGGGTGGGGGCTCAAAGGGAGAGCGCTTGCCTAGCATGAGTTTGGCACAGCACCACATAAAATAAAGATATTGTGTCCACCTGTAACTAAAAAATAAATATAAAAAAATCAATAAATGGGACGGTATCAAACTAAAAAGTTTCTTCACAGCAAAGGAAAAAATCAAGAACATGAACAGAGAACCTACAGAGAATGGGAGAAAATCTTTACCACCAGCACCTCAGATAGAGGATTAATCTCCAGGATATACTAAGAACTCAAAAACCTTCACATACACAACACACACACACACACACACAAAAAAAAAAACCCAATCAATAAATGGGCTAAGGAACTGAACAGGAAATTTACAGAAGAAGAAATACAGTCAAAAAAAAATATGAAAAAAATATTCAACACCACTAGCAATTAGAGAAATGCAAATCAAAACTACACTGAGATTCCATCTCACCTCAGCAAAATAGCAATTATCAAAATACAAGTAACAATAAATGTTGGTGAGGATATAGGGGGAAAAGGTTCACTTACACACTGCTGGTGGGACTGCACATTGGTACATCACTCTGGAAAGCATACAGAGATTTCTTAAAAAACTCAGAATGGAACCATCATTTGAGAGTTATCCCACTCCTTGGCTTATACCCAAAGGACTTAAAATCAGCATACTACAGTGACACAGCAGCTCAATTCACAACAGGAGCTATGGAACCAACCTAGGTGCCCTACAACAGATGAATGAATAAAGAAAATATGGTATATATACACAATGGAAAATTACTTGACCATAAAGAAGAATGAAATTATGGCATTTGCCAGTAAGTGCATGAAACTAGAGAATATCATGCTAAGTGAAATAAGCCAGTCCCAAAACACCAAAGGCCAAATGTTCTCTCTGATATGTGGATGCTAACCCACAATAGGGAGGGGAAGATCAGAAGTCTACACTGGACTACACAAAGGGGAACGAAGGGAAGTGAGAGGGGATGGGAATAGAAAGACAGTAAAATGAATCAGACATATCTTTCCTATCCCTATATATGAAAACACAACCAATGTAACTCCACGTCATATACAACCACAATAATTGGATCCTAATTGGAAAAGTTACACTTTTTCTATGTATGTATAATAGTCAAAATACATTCTACTGTCATGTATATCTAGAAAGCACAAATTTTTAAAAAATCTGTACAAGCAGCAATTAGACTGCTATATTTTTCTCCCTGACTATTATTCTCCCACCATAATAGAGGACTCAAGATTTACTTTGGAAAGATTGAAGTAGGAAGACTCTGGATTCTTGGACAACAGACTTAGCTAAAGATTGGAATATCACCTGAAAGCAGAAGATTAAATAAAAGGCTACACACACTGAATTGGTGGGAACCAGCCCCCAGCTTCATTCCCTCATCTGATTGTAGAGCACTGATAGCATCCCTGGAAGAGATCTAGAGTACTCTGTTCAAGGTAAAAAGACCAGCAGAAAGAGAATAAGAAAAAACAAAACCAAGAAAAAAGACCAACAGAACGAGAATAAGAAAAAACAAAACAACAAAAAGATGGGTGGGGAAAGTAGAGTGATTCAGCACCAGGGTTTAATCACCTGTACTGTAAAAAAGAGGGAGAGAGGGGTAAAGGAAATTCCCTAGGCTTACTGGAGCAAGGGCATAGGGGATCTCAGGTTTGATGATTCCATCAGCCTAAAAGAACAGACTGTCAAGACTGAACAGGCAAAGATGATATTTACAGTACCGACAGGAATTTGGGGATAAATTGCTGTAGATATACAGTAAACAAAACAAATATTAAAAAAAGAAAAAAGTACTCATCACCATTAAAATAAAGTGGAGCAAAATTTTTAATTTTTAAAAAGAAAACTTAAATTTTGATAAAAGTTAAAAATATGTATAATTCCAATACTTGATATTACTGAGCCAAAAAAACTGGATTGTGAACACAGCATAATGTCTGAATAAAGCGATTTGGCGGGCTGGTGACTTTTCAGTAATGGCAAGATCCAGGGTGTGACTATGTGACCAGGTCACTAAAGAAAATGAAGAAGGAATCAAAAGGCCAAAGTATTAGCTGATTGTCAATCTAGATGCTAAAGGTACTAAAACTGATGGTGTGTGACTGTGCTGGTATTTCCACCTTTCTCTATCATCATTTCTGCTACAGTAAGCTGACCTATATATATATGTTATCAACAGGTTGCCAGGTCCCAAGGCTTCTGATTGTGTTTGGACAACAGGGAATCCCAGAGTAGGAGATTAGAAGAATAAAGTAAGGAAATTCATTCCTTCAACTCCCTCCCTGAAAGGGCCCTTAAGCTAGCCATGTCCCTTCACATGAAAGTCACCCACCATTCCTCTCAAGGCAGTCAAGTAATCATCCCTCTTCCCCTTCAAGTGATGTTAACAGTTTGGCTACAGATTATTACACTATTTCTTGTGGTACCATTACACCTGCAACATTATAAATAGTACCTTTACAAAGTAAACTCTCCTCAAATTATCTTGTCAAATATGCCACCTGTTCCTGTTGAGACCCTACTAACAATGATAGTAATAATGAAAATGATGGTGATGATAGGTTGTAACAGAGAAGAGCAGAAAGAAGTTACTAATTTTTAAATAATAACTTGTAACACAATTTGAGCTCTATACTGAATAACTTTTCAAAGCTCTTTATAGATACTACCTCATTTAATCATAACAATTACCCTATGTTACAAGCACTGATTATTTTCTAGTTCGTTTCTAAATATAAAAAACCAGCACAGTTGCTGGTTCAAGGACTCAAATACTGATTTTAAATACACACAACAATATGCAAATTTAGCAGTGATACTAACTACTTTTGTAGTACTGCTAAGCATTCCTCTTATATATATTTTAGAAAACTATATGAATATAAAGGAATTGTGACTTCCCAGATCAAAGAAACTAAACTCTAAAGGGGAACATATGTGAATAACTTCCTTATGTAGCCTACAGTAAAGTCCTATTTGTCTTCCCGCAAAGCAAACAAGGATTTAGGCCCCAAATTTTAAGTGTCATATTCAAAGTTGCAAATTTTAAAACATTTATTATGTACTTCTAGCCTACTGGCTTATTTAATAGAGCAGAGCACCTTTAAATATCAGTTATGAGTTAAACATATAAAAGGCAAGATGGTAAACAGAAAAACATGCTTGTGAGTAAAATCACAAAATAAGGGAAAGATAAAGGAGGCTGTGGATGTAGCTCAGTGGTGGAACACTTGCTTGCTCAGCACGCAGTGAAGCCCTAAATTTGATTTCCAGCACCACACACACACACACAAAAAAAGGTAACAGTGAGCGTTTTGTCAGTCTCATCAGTTTTCAAAGTACTTCACAACTCAGAGCAAATCTTACATTTATGACCTATTTCAGCAAGATCACCAACTATACACACTTCCAGAAACAGCACAACACACATAAGTGTGAAAATTAGGGAATAAAGCATAAAATGTGAGTCAAAGAACAAGGAAATACAATATATGTAAGAGACAACTGAACATTTCACTAGATACTTACACAAACATACAGAATAACTGAGATAGCTACGATGTCCATCTTATAAATAAAAACCTAAAAGTCAGGGAAATAGGTTAGAGGACCAACATGAAGCAAAATGAGAACTCTTTAAGTTTTTCTGAAACCAGAATTAGCTTTTTTTTCCATCTGTATTATACTGCACTCCAAAGCAAAGAGAAAATTCACAAGTATACGAATCTAGAAACCTGAGAAATTTCGAGAATAATGTTTCAGAACTGGAATGAAAATTGGCAAAGACTAGTGAGGTGTGCGGCTACCTTCCCACGTTTAGGAAGAGCTGCCATATACAAACCTTGGACATGGAGGTGAGACCGATAAAGCATCCTTGAGTGGAAGGTAGAGAAGCACTGATATTTGATTTGGTTGAAGACAACACAGAAAAGCACGGTCTAAGGAGTAATAGCAAGGACAGAACTTAAAGAGGGCTGGACCCACGCCACAAGCAAGAAGTTCAGGACCTACAAACCAGATTCTACGGGGTGAGGAATGGGCCAGTTCGCGAGCGATCAGCTGCGACTAGTTTCCGAAAAGCGACATAGCTGTAGCTTCGCAGCCCCACCCCACAACAGCAGCTCCTCCCCAAGGAGGACCTCACAAGGGCAACCGCCCGCACAGGCTCTCCCCTCGAGCCTACGACCCACCCAGCCCTGGGACCCGCGGCGCAGAACGGCCTCTCTGGGCCCCTCACCGAACGCTGCAGCTCCCCAAGCCAAAACGAGGCGCGCTCCTTTCCGCTGGGATCCGGGTCGTGGTAAAGCGCCTGCACTGCCTGGTACACAAGCTGCAATGTCGGTTTTGCTCCTTCCATGGTGTTGGCGGCAGTGGTGACAGCGACAGTTCGGATTCTTCTCAGGAGGCTTCCCGGTTGCTCCGCCTTCGCGCTTCCTTACTGTCTTGGCCACAGCCGCTCCCTGACTGGCGCCATCTCCTCCTCTTTGGCCGTTACCAGGGCAGAGGGGTTCACTGTAGAAGTTGGCCCCTCGGAAACAGCGGATAGATCGTATTCAGGTTCCTTTTCTTTTTTTCCGTCTTTTCACTGGTATCCAGACTCCTGAGTCCGGACGCTGATTCTTGATTCTTCACCTGCTGATTTACGTTCAGAAGCCGATCTCCGCACGACACCAGCCACGTTGTGTACCTAAGCCGCGTTTAACCGGACCGGAAGCGACAGCCCAGTACCTTTGGCACACTTCCGTCTGGTGCTCTACAAACGGCCTCCTTCCCGGCACGCCTCCTCTTGTCTCCCCGCCCCCTCCAGGAAGTGACCCTGCCAGGCGAGGAGTGTGGAAGAAAGGGTACGCTGTGGTTTTCTACGTCCTCTTTGAGCTTTAGGACCGATTTGTGTCAAGTACCTGAGCCGTTCTTCCCTCCTTGGCATGGGTCAGAGGTCATCTCTCTCCCTCCCGACTTCCTCATTCCTCTCTTGAGAATCCCTTCTGTCCCGGGTTGGTGATCAAGGCGCGTCAATTGAGCTATCTGGGGTGTCCAATGTACCGGAGATTGAGATGACTTAAGACACGGTTCCTACTCAGACCCTAGTGAATGAGACGTGTAACCGACTAATTATTTACAAACCTGAAATGTGCCACATTGAATAATCCAAAAGGACTAGAATCTATCAACCTCCGTTTTCTACTAAGTTCTTTGACCCAAAAGGAGTCTCATTCTACTGCTTGTTACGTGACTTTCCGAACTCCAGAGCACATGCACGTATCTGCAGGGCCATTATCACATTAGTTTGTATTTTTGTGTGTATGCCTTTCTTTATGAATCTAAAATCAGTAGTCTAATAATTCTCAATTTCACAAAAGAAAATAAAAACCCACACTGGAGAAATTTAACACGAAAAATAGCAGCATGTTAAGGGGTTCCCCAACACTGCTCCTCTCTTTGCACTATTTGATAAATGCTTATAATGTGTAAAATACTATAGTTATGATAGCTAAAACCTTGCCAAATTATCATTTTAAAGAATGAGAATTTTAAAAAACAAGAGAATGAAGGTAATGTAATTTGCCCAAGGTCACACATTTTTCAATGAAAAGATTTGAATCCAGATCCATTTTCCTTCAAATACTGTGAAGTAGTACAATTCCTATCATTCTGTGGGGTAGTTTTCTTCAGAATTATTATTGTCAAGGTATTTTAACTAGCCACACCATGATGAATAAAACTGTTATTGTAGAGTTGATAAAATTTCAGGCAAAGAAAAGAAACCTTATGCTTAATCTACCTCAGTGATCCATTTGGTGGAAAAAATGAGTTTTAATAACACCACCTTGATCTCAGCCCTCATGGAATTTACAATCTAATTGCAAAGAAAAACGAACAATTTAGGGCTGGGGGCGGGGGTGGGGGGTGGGGGTAGGTGATGTAGCTCAGTGGGAGGGCACTTAGCTAGCATGCCCAAAGCTCTGGTTCAATCCCCAGCTCCAGGGTAGGAGGAAGCAAAACAAAAACTAGCAATTCAAGACAGTGTAAAAGTTCTGTGAACATAAACAAAATAATGGTGTTGGACTTACTACCTCTATTATAAAAAGATCATAGAACCTAAATATAAGAGCTAAAACTACAAAACTCCTGGAAGAAAACAGGAATATATCTTCATGATTTGGATTTCTTGGGTATGGTACCAAAAACTCAGTCAACAAAAGAATAGATAAATTTGATTTCATCAAAACTAAAAATGGTGGGCTGGGGCTGGGGCTCAAGCGGTAGCGTGCTCGCCTGGCATGCGTGCGGCCCGGGTTCGATCCTCAGCACCACATACAAACAAAGATGTTGTGTCCACCGAGAACTAAAAAATAAATATTAAAAAAAAATTCTCTCTCTCTCTTAAAAAAAAAAAAAACTAAAAATGGTGTGTTGAAGTACACTCTCAAAGAAGTGAAATGATAATCCACAAAAAATGGGAGAAAATATTTGCAAATCATTTGTCTTGTAAGGGATTAGCATCCAAGAAATATAAAGAACTCTTGGAATTCAACAATGAAAAGACAAATGTAACTCAGTTTTTTAAAAATGAACAAAATATTTGGATAGGCATTTCTCTGAAAAACATCGGTAAATGCACATAAATGATGGTCAACATCCCAGTCATCTGAGAAGTGCAAATCAAAACTACAGGGTCAGGAGGGCTGGGATTGTGGCTCAGTGGTAGAGCGCTTGCCTGGCATGCATGGGGCACTAGGTTCAATCCTCTGCACCACATAAAAATAAATAAAACTAAGACATTGTGTCCATCTACAACTAAAAAATGTATATTAAAAAAAAAACTACAGTGAGCCAGAAATGGTAGGTAGCACATGCCTAAAGTCCCAGCTACTTGAGAGGCTGAGGTCAGAGAGTTGCTTTAGCCAAGGAAGTCAAGACCAACCCAGGCATCAAAGTACCAGCCTCAGCAACTTAGCAAGATCCTGTCTCTAAGTAAGATATAACAAGGGCTGGGGATATGGTTCAGTGGTTAAGAACTTACCCCTGGTTCAATCCCCAGTACTCAAGCAAAAATAAAAAACAACAGCAAAAATCTTCTTGGAATTTCTTGAAGGATTTTCCCCCAAGCTAATGCCAATTGGGTTTCTGTTACTGCCATCAAGAATTTTGACAAAAAAAAAGAAAAGAAAAAATGAATGAATGAATGTCAGTCTGCCATGACAAAATACCACAAACTTGGTAGCTTAAACAACAGAAATTTATTTGTTCACAGTTCTGGAAGCTGGAAGTCCAAAATCAAGGCAACAGGATGGATGACTCTGGTCGGGGTCCTCTTCCTACTTGTAGATGGTCACTTTTTGCTGTGTCCTCCTGTGGCATAGAAGAGAATTCTTATTAGGTCACAGTTCTATGGGATTAGAGTCCTACTCTTGCGAGCTCATTTAATCGTTTTTTTCAACATTATTTTATTGGGGCATTGTGGTTGTATGTAATGGTAGGATTTGTTGTTGCAAGTTTGTATACACACATATTGTATATATAACAATATAATGAACTTATTTAATCTTAATTACCTCCTAAAGACCCCCCAGGTATAACCATATGGTGATTAGTGCATCAACATATAAATAGAGGGACACAATTCTGTCTATGCATATGCTTTTGTTTTGGTACTGGATTGAATTCAGGCGAATGAGACCACTGAGGCAGCCCTTTTTTATATTTTCTTTAGAGACAGGGTCTCACTGAGTTGCTTAGCACCTTGCTTTTTACTGAGGCTGAACTCATGATCCTCCTGCCTCGGCCTCCCAAGGCACTGGGATTACTGGCATATGTCACCACATCCGACCATATTATGTGCTATTACTTCCATTGGCCTTAGCTAGAAGAAGGCTCTTGCCCAAAAGAATAAGATAGCATCAAACTCCCTTTTGCACATGGAATTATAGTAAAAATTCAGGCAAAGACATGCTGCCTGCATCAGGAACAGAGATGTGTTATGGTTCAGCACAAGGCAATACATTTGAATTGGGTTCCATGACTCCCTGCTAGGATCAAGCACTCACAATTTTCCCTGGTAGTAAAAGGATACTTATAGATTTAAAAAGTACATGTGTAAGAATGTTAATCCCAGTGTGGTTTGCTCCAGTAAAAAAGTAGAAACACACTCAATATCCAGGTTGGTAATTGATAAAGAACCTTAGGATAGGAGCTGGGGTGTAGCTCAAGAGTAAGAGTGCTTGCCTAACATGCATGAAGCCTAGGTTCTATTCCTAACACTGAAAACAAAACAAAAACTTAGAGTGTATGGGTACTATTAACATCAGATCAATATTGGCATCAGATTCACCATTTTAGGTCGGGAATCATTTTATCTAGAAACTCCAAAGTTTTTACTCTGAGGCAATGCTGCTTAACTTCCCATAAGAACATGGACCTGCTAAATGATCAACTCAACCCCAGTTTATGATGCAACTCCTAAACAGCTTATGAAATTCCTCTTGGGGCTATAGAGTTGCTCTGTGACTGCAGACATGCTGCTGCTCTCTTCAGTGGGGCAGCCTTGTTGGTTTGCCTTGTGCTACTGACAATAAATCTCTTGCGTGAGATCTGGTGTGTGGCGTGGTCTTTGGACTTTGTGTGGACTCTGCGAGTGTACTTTCAGGTACTAGGCAGCTATTGGAAATCAAGTAGAAAGAAGTACCATTAATTATATTACATATGACAATAGTATTGTCATATGTAAATATATAGAATATATGTAAATATATGGAATATATAAATATATATAGGAAATATATTTTTTTATATAAATAGGAAAAAGTTCCTACTTATTTAGACATATATTCTAAAGTATTTAGAGCAATATGGTACAACAAAGAATATATCCAGTCTTTGTCCCCAGTTTCTGATGAAGTACTTCAAAAACTCTTGGAATTCTAGGCACTATGGCCTGTAATCCCGGCTTACCTGGGTGGCTGAGGCAGGAAGTTTCCAAATTCAGTTTCAGACAGCTTGGGTGACACTGGGAGATCCCACCTCAAAACAAAAACAAAAACAAAAAAACTTCTTGGAATATTTGCAAAGTGATAGCAATGTCTTTGTTGTGGTAATGAGGTAACTCCACAGAGCCCCTGGTAGATGCAGGTCGGTCTCAGGAAAGACCAATCATGTGACTAGAAGTTTGGAATTTTGAGATTCCAAGGGGAACTCTGGGAAGAACTTCAAGAGAGGAGAGGAATTAAAGATGATTCCATCCCATGACATTGATTTTCTCAATCATGCCAACATCACTCACACCTAGATTCAAAAACAATGACAAAACACAGAAACTCTGGACATCAAAGCTCTGTAGCACTTCCTGGTTAATGAACATATTGATTTTATGACAAGAGATGGAAACTACCTTCCTCCAGGACCTTACTCAATGTGAATCCTTTATAATAAAACTTAAACCATTAAGTATTGCATTTTCCTGAATCATTCTAGAAAATTATCAAATTTGAGGGGGCTATGAGAAGCCCTGTCATTGCAACTAGATGGTCAAAAATGCAAGTAGCTTGGGGATACCCAATGTATAGCTGATATCTGAAATTAGGGGAGTCTTGTGGTGGACTGAGCCCTAAACCAGTGGAGTCTGATACTAAGTCCAGATGGAGTGTCAGAATTTAATTGCAATTCCCCCATTTGGGTTAGAAATGGAACAGGTAATTAAGTTTAACATATGCAAAA